TAACAATCAGCCCTTAAAATAATAATAATAATAATAATAATAATAATAATAATCATCATCATCATCATCATCATAATCATAATAATAATAACAATTAACGGTCTTTATTGAAAAATCAACATATTTGAATATAAGTCATAATACAAGAGTGTAACCCCAAGAACAATAGCACCAAATGGCCAAAATGGCCAAAAAAATACACATCCGTATTCACATCGTAAATACAAGAATCAGACGTACGCCGTGTGCCAAATAAAACGCTTCGCCATAATACGATCTGAAAACCTGTAGGAGATACGAAAAAACGTTTAATAAAAAAGTTTCTTTTATTCTCCTGAATATTTAAAATATTATAATTTTCCTTATACAGAGTGTTCCAAAAGTATCACCCCCCCCCCCCACCCCGACATCAAGTTTGTTATTTTAAATGGAACACCCTGTATATTTCGTAATTTTTGCAATTCTTGGTTGAAATAAGGGTTACTTTCTTAAGAAATTCTTATTGCAATTTTGCATAGTTTAGACAGAAATTGATTTTATGTGTTTTTTTTTTCATATTTTGATTGCCCCATATAAAATTGTTTGGATGACGCTACTGATCGAGGTATTGCAACGAATATTTAACCACAGACTAAGGAGATGATGCACTACTCAATGAGTTTGACAGATGCGCCTCAGCTTATACAGGGTGTCCCAAAGAAGCGGTGCGATTTTCAAATGGAACACACTATATTTTTATTCGGATATCAATTCTAGGACAAAAAATAAAGTCAGTTTGTAATTTTTCCCATATTTAAATTTTACTTGCTTTTTGAGATATTCGAGGTTTAAAATAACACCCGTATAAATTATAAATTATAAATATTAAGTATTTTTTAAATAGCAAAGACAAGATATACGAATAAAAAATATTGCTAACAATACAGGGTGTCCATTAATGCGTGGAAATTTTGAAAAAAATCGATTCTACAGTGCAGAAAATAAATAACTAAAGTTTATAGGCTAACTATACAAGGTAACAAATTTGAATAAATAAATCTATAAAATAAAAAGTTAACTAAAAAGAGTTCGTAAATTCGGTCCATAAAGTATAGTTAAAAATGTTCTTCTTAAATTGCTCGCTTCATCTGGCATCAAAATAACAAAGAAATATCAATATATTTAAAAATGTAGTTGAATATGACATCACAATCTTGTTTTTTGGCCCATTAAGCTACAAACAAACTTTGTTTTTGTTGTTTTTCATATTGCTCTTTAAATAGTTCGTAGTTGTCAAGTTTTTTGTTAGTATATATTTTATTTGTATTTTACATAAGTTATAGTTTTTTGGTTACAATGACGTAATATCCTGCTCAGGAACTGCTAAAATTGTATGAATGCTACCTGACCAATGGTAAAAGTGCAGCCTTAGCATACCCTTTTATCACAAGAGACAGAATTGAACGTAATATTATAATACTTCACTGAATTTCCTGAAAATTCTTTGCGAGATGCAAGCAGGGACCTTGATTTAACTATTTAAGCTGTGGGACGTATTTTAGAAGGCAACAAAATAAAACCTTATAAATTTCTACCAATTCAATTTTTGTTTCACCATGATTTTGATGCCAGACGAAACTTCTGTACGGTAATGATGGACGAACAATTTGAGAGGGACGTTTTTAACAAAACATTATGGACCGATGAGGCGGTTTTTACGACGTCTGGCATGGACAATAAAAAAATTGTAACTATTATTCAACAGTGAATAAGTTTTTAATGAAAAAAATTAGTAAGCAGGGCCCTCGTAGTGTTAAAGTGTTATAAGGGATACAATTCTTTGCACCATTTTTTGAAAGTATTTAAACGGTCAGAATTTTTTAATTTTGCTTCAAAATTCAATAATGCCAAAAGTAAACAACCTACACGACAATTTGCGGGAGAACATTATATTTCAGCATGATAGCGCGCCCTATTATTGTGATCATAAAGTGATGAATTTTTTAAGAGTAAATATCCAAAATGTAATTGGTAAAAATGGTGACATTGCGTGGCCACCGCGAAGTCCCGATTTTACACCCATGGATTTTTTTGTGGGGCACTTTAAAGGCCGTGTGTATAAACCGCGAAATAACTATACTGATGTCCTAAAGGAAACAATTAGACAAGAGGTTCTTGCATTAAAGGATAGTGATGCTGTTATATCACCACATTTAAGTTTTTTTCTAGTTATTTGTTTCTGTTTTTTTTTTTAGATTAATTTATTCATATTTGTTACCTTGCTTAGTTAGCCCATAAACGTTAATTATTTATTTTTGTTATTAGGTATTTTCAAACAAGCTAGATAATTAACTGTTAAAGGTTTCTCTAAATATGAATTCTGAAGTTTAATTAAATCCATTAAAGTGTGTACTATGGAGCCATTTTTTTTTTAAATTTCCAGATATTAATGGACACCCTTTATTATTAGCAATACATTTGATTCGTATATTTGGAGTATTATATCTTTAAAAGTAGTATCATGTCTTTGCTATTTAAAAGATACCTAATATTGCCAACAAGTGACCTAATGTGGGCAGCGTTAAATCCAACAAGAATTTATATGGGTGTGAAATATCGAATATCTCAAAACGCAAGTAAAATTTAAGTATGAGATAAATTACAAAGTAAAGTCTGTTCATGGATATAAGAAAGTGACTAACTGACACCAATTAAGGAAAGACCCGGGGAAACTGTAAGAATGAAATATGACCGAACAGGTTCGTACTTTGCTTAGAATTTAATTATTTTGGGTTTTGTTAGGAAAGATACTAAACAAAATTTACTTATTTATGTATGTTTTTATGTTTAAATCTAAAATAAAATTACAAATTATTTTTATTACCTACTTAAATTACTTAAAATTATTCACATATTATATCAGTATCACTATCGCTATCATTGCCTGTTCTAATTATTATTTGTTCTATATTATTTGCAATATGGATATACGATTGTTCTGCTTTTCTATATGTTTAACAGAATTTGCCCAAATTTGTGGAGGGATGTTCAAAACTTCGGTTTCTATAAGTTTGAGGACATTGGAGTTAACACGGGGAAAACATTGTTACGACGAATGGCAGATTTCAGTTGGTGCCAAACATGTTCAATAGGATTAAATATACAGTGGTAAGGTGGAAGGAAGTCTTAAAACTGTATGCCCTAGATTGTTTGCATAATTGCAAGCTTTGCAAAACCTCAATTAATTGCTTTTTGGTATAATCTTCGTCAAACTAAATGTCGTTATTATACATGTAGTTTTGGATTGTTGCTTTTGTGTCACATGAGGAAGGGGTTTTAGTCAACTGTCTACTGTGTTAACTTGCGTGGCCCATTACAATTACACTATTAGGAGGAATGTTTGGCGTTAGTTTGTTTTTAAACCAACTTACAAATAAATCAGCAGTGGTGTCTTCATGGTAATCCAGAGAAGAATCTTTAATATTTTTCGCAGACAGAGAAAGTCCATTTGGAATCCAACCATCTTAGAGCCAGCATGCAAAGTAGTTATTCTTTTACCTCTTTTTGATGGCGCGTTTGTTTTACACTTATCAGTTGAGTCAACCCAACCCTTTTCCGGGGTATCATAAGTGTCGAACCAGGTTTCCTCCAAGTAAATAATTGGCCTTTGTTGTTCTCTGTAAATCCTATTTTTTTTCTAGATATTCCAGTCGCCATTTCCGAATTCTAAAAGATTCCATTAAAACTTGCCTTTTGTCAATTTTTTTTAATTTAAAACCCATGTGTTGAATACACTTCCATAAGGTAGTTCTGCCACATTTAACACCGGTTTCATCTTTTTCACGCCTCCTAATTAAGATATCTAATGTAGGCACGCTTTGTTCCTCGTATAACTGGTAAATTTCACGCCGTGTTATATCTTGATCACTGTCATCTACACTCGAGAAAATGTCAGTTTCGCTTCTTCTTTTCCTCGCTGAAATGGGATTATTCACAATTCTTCATACAGTTGATGCTGGAATTTTCGTCAATGTGGTCGTTTCTTCTAAACATGCTTGCTTGCTGGCACCACGTTCAATGAGAGTCAAATAAACATTGTTTATAACTTCCTTTGCCTCAATGGAATAGTGTTTTCTACATTTGGGCCGGAACATCTAGTGAATTACACTAGACTCGCAAATATTTTGCATAATTCGCACACGATTCAACACACGCTGTATTACCAACCTTACCAAACTAAAGAATATTAAACACAAGTAGGTATAAAATTATTTTCTATTACGGACCACAATTTTACCTGAATTTAAATTCCGAACCTTTAGGTAATAATCTTGTTGCATTGTATGTTAATGACCAGGCTTGGAAAATCCCATTCAAAAGCAATTGGTCACTTTCTTATATCTATGAACAGACCATACCTTATTTTTTGTCCTAGATATCTGAATCAAAATATAGTGTGTTTGAAAATCTTGAGATTTTGTTATTTGAATTCGCCACCTATTTGGGACACCCTGTATCAGCTGAGGCGCATCTGTCAAACTAATTGAGTAGTGCATTATCTCCTTAGTCTGTGGTTTAATTTTTATTGCAATGCCTGGATCAGTAGCGTCACAACAAAATTTTATATAGCGCAATCAAAATATGAAAAAAACACATGACCTCAATTTCTGCAAAATTCGAATAAGAATTTCTTAAGAAAATGACCTTTATTTTAACCAAGGATTCTAAAAATGTCGAAATATACAGGGTATTCCGTTTAAAATAACGAAGTTGACAGCCTGTATCAACAAAATTATAATATTTAAAATTTTCATGAGAGTCCAAGAAAATTTTGTATGAAACTTTTTTCGTATCTCCTATGGGTTTCCAGATCGTATAGTGGACAGTTTTATTTGGCACAAGGTGTACATCATAAACTCGTACTCTTTTGCTAAATACTGGCGGGCCTAATAAACAATATTAACGCTTTTTTCAAGGACTTTATAAGCAGGATTATTAATCCTTCTTACTTCTCTTTCCAGTGGCCGTGGTGGTGACGTTCTTCATTTGCTGGGCGCCTTTCCACGTGCAAAGACTCTACACGATCTACGCAACATTCCCAAAGGCGGACGAGCAGACCCACTCTCTCTACTTGCAGGTCTACTCGGTAGTCACCTACGTCAGCGGCATCCTTTATTACGTTTCGGCCACTTCGAACCCGATCCTCTACAGTATCATGTCGATGAAATTCCGCAAAGCGTTCAAGGTGAGATTTCGTCCTTTTTCGGAATAGAATAAAACGGCAATAAGCAGCACTTGTAGCGTCGTGATATAACCGGATGCGAGAGATGAAATATTTTCGGGCTTTATTCAAAATGGAAGCGACCGTAATGGCGGAAATTTGGAAAGCGACGCTGCGGAATTTAAGAAACATGACGCGTTCGTACGTACGCGAGTGAATGTCAAACTGAAAACGCCTCCTCCCTCTCGGGAATTGTCTCGACGACGTTCCGGATTTTTAATAACAGTCCACATGTTTTAATAATGGCTGCAACGCGGTTCGCAAAGGGAAACGAGAGTGAGGCTGTCCCTTTCGCGTCGTTTGAGGTTGAAACGGGTGAGGTTTTCACATGAACAACGCAATAAATGCGAATCATTGCAAAAATATTAAATACTAAGTGTCTGGTTTCAACAAGGATTTACGAAGATGTACACTAACAATATTGGCGTGTATGGGGTCTTACAGAATTGACTTTACAAAATTCAACTTTTAATGGCCTTTACTAGACTATATACTTTATTGTTGTTTGATTTGAAAAATAAAAATTTTCAGGAACAAATATTGCTACAAAAAAGTCAAGGTTATATAAAGATGTGCTGAATATGTACACTAGAAATTCTAGGATATATGACAATTTACCACATTTACCGATGATGTAGTAAAATACGTTTTAGAAAACGTAAATAAATAGCATATAATTACTTTGTTTGAATTGACAAAACAGAATAAAAAAGAAAATTTTGTAAAAATGTGCTGAATATATACGCTAAAACTTGTCAGACGTAGATTGATCGCAAATGTACCGAAGATCAATTATAAATAATTAGATAAATACTGTCTAATATCTGATTAAAAAAAAGTCTGATGGGTAACAACTTACTTAAAATTATATTTTTGTATGTAAATAAATGTAAAGGGTTTTATAAAAATTTGCAGCATCTATACACCAAAAATCCAGTTACAAAATTGATAATAGACTCATTAGATTCTTCTTGTGGTTTGATTTGAAAAAACAAAACTACTCTGCAACGAATGCTGCTACCAAAAAGTCAGGTTAATATAAAGATGTGCTGAATATGTACACTACAAATTCTAGGATTTATGACAATTTACCAAATTTACCGATGATGTAACTTCGATTTATAAGATTTATCGCAAATGTTCCGTTATAAATAATTTGAGAAATACTTTGATATTGTTAAAAAAAAAACAAATCTACTGGGCAGCAACTTACTAAATATGACGTTTTTGTATATAAATAAAAGTAAAAGTTTTTATACAAATTTCCTGAATATATATACCGAAAATCCTTGTACAAAATCGATAATAGATTACAAATTTTACCGATGATTTATAAGATATAACGGAGCGTACAAAAGATTCATTAGAGACTTTAAATAAATGTATTCTTGTTGTTTGACTTGAAAAACAAAACTACTCCGCAAGGAATGCTGCCGGAAATGTACGGCAGATGAATTATAAATAATTAGATAAATACTTACAAATTGTTCGATATGAAAAAAACAAGTCTAATGGAAACTTACTTAAAATGACATTTTGTATATAAGTGCTGTAGCCAAATATAGAAGCTTCAAAAAAATTGCTGAATATGTAGATTAAAAATCCTTGTACAAAACTGATAATAGATTTACAAATTTTAAGGATGATTTATACGATTTATCGGAGATGAACGGAATATGAAAGAAGAAAAAAACCATATTTAAAAAATATCTATATTTCTTATTCAGTAACAAAGTGTATTCTAGTTAAACAAGCGAAAAAAAAACTTTACTCAGACTTTACAGGCGCCAATCTTTTTTTATATATGGCACATTTCCTAATTTGGCAACTAAATTAGGAATATTGTTCTTCCTGAGTAAAATATTACCATAACTCTTTTTCGCGATCTCGGTAAAAGCTTGATGTGACGCCAGCTACCAGTAAATGCTTGTCAAGAAGTCTGGTCGCTATCAATTGGGATACGTCTCTGAAATCTGGTGTGAAATCTGAGTCATCTGGGTCGGAATTATATTTTGACTATATGGCGTTTTCTAGTTCTTTTGGGGCGGTACATATGGTACATGAGCAACTGGTCGAGTAGCAGAGTCAAGATTGGAATACACAATTTGTTTCTTATTTTTTTCTGTTGAATCCTTGAACATTACACAAACAGAAATAACAACCATAACTGTGATTCCTAGGCTCTCGCCATACCATAGGAGCACTAAAGCTTAAACATTTGTTCGTACCTTTTTGCCAGTTTCTTAATGCTTCAGCGCAAATAGGACAAATAGTATGAGGAACCCAGGACTTGGGTGCCAATATTTACACCAAAAGAAGCGTGGTATAGATTTTTCACAAAAGAAGTTATAGTTTGCCTTTGCTTTATTGCGACATAATTACCACAGATATAACAAAAGTTATTTGGATTGTTCACACAATGGCGACAACGAAGACAACAGCGCCCAACACAGTAGCACGACGACCAATACAATCAAACTGCATAAGCAACGCTGTATTGGCGCTTCTGCACCTACTCTGTAGCTTTGCAGAGAAATCGAATATTAACCAGTGTTGCCAAATCACATTTACTTTCTTCAAAATCAATCCATTTAAAAATCATGTCCAACATGGAACAAATATATTCAGGTCATATTAATAAAATAACCTTTTTTAGATAAAGAGTACTATAAAAAAAAAGGCATTTTTTGAAAAAAAAAAAAAGTTCGTCAAAAATATAGAAAAAAATAAGCATACAGCTTTCAAACATCAAGATCAAGACCTGTGTAATTAGATAGATAAATAGATAAAATAATTCCATATGGTTTGGGTTGAAAAAATCAAGTCTAATGGCAACAACTTACTAAAAATGATGCTTATGTATATAAGTGTGCAATAAATGCTGTAGCCAAATGTAAAAGTTTTAATAAAAATTTGCTGAATATGTAGATCAAAAATCCTTGTACACAACTGATTTACAAATTTGACCTATGATTTAGATGATTTAGCGGTGTGTACAAAAAATTATGCATTCTTGCTGTTTGATTTGAAAAAACAAAACTACTCCGCAACAAACGCTGCTTCCAAAAAGTGAAACGGTTATATAAAGATGCGCTAAATTTATACACTAAAAATTCTAGCATTACAGAATTTGCTGACGATGTAGGTTTCATTTATAAGATTTATCAGCAATGTACGGAAGATGTTTTAGACAGCGTAAATAAATAGATAATAAATAATATGGCCAGTACATATTTTCGTGTTGTTTGATTTGACAAAACAGATAAAATACAAGATTTTTTAAAGATATGCTGAAAATCGATGGTGACTAATGGGATCTCGGAAACCACAATAACACAAATGACACTTTCCATTTTCTCCCCATTAGCAAATTAGCAAACCTCATTTGGTCAGTTACACGAGCTGACGTTGCCGTAGGACGTGTTAAAAAAAATCCTATCGGTTTTTTAAAACTAAAGTGATTTATAATTAAATTATAATTAATGAATGACCCTCCTAACAATCAATCAAAATGCTGTTCTAATTGAACGTCTTTAACATTCGTCGCTACTCGGAATTGCAGCGATTACGAGGTAATTTTTGCGACAATTTAATTTGACGTGTAACTATGAACTCCTGCCTGTTATTACCGCCCATTAGTTTTGATTGCATCTCCGACCGCGGATATGTATATCAAATCGCGACCTAAATTCTTTGATTACCTTGAAATTGGTAATTAATATTCGCAATAATCGTCGTCCTTAAACAATGATGAGCCATTGACAAAGTCATTTGCCCAACGCGGTGAATTTCCATTCTCTACAGGTTGTCGCTTTTAAGTCACCATCACAGCACGTTTTCAGGTTTAGCAAAAATTCCGCGAAATGCTCGGAGTTGTTTGAGTTTTGAATTTTTAATGCCCTCGACGCTGGGATTTAGTGTCAAATTTTCTGCTATTGAATTATTAATTAAATTAATTAAAACTTCTGAGATTTTGGATCTTTGGGAAAGATTAACATAACCTCGACGGAATCCAGTGGCACGAAATGTTAGCGACTGCTTCCCATCCCGGATACTTCCGCCACGGTGACACTTCCTGCGTTGTAGACATTAAAGATATCGGAATGAACGAGTAAACACTTCGATTTCCCTTTGTCGGAGAAGTACGGGGCTCGGGCAATAAAACCCGATTCCAATAAGCCCCAACCCTTTATCATCGTTGAAGCTTTGCCGGGTCGGAAACTACATTATATGACTTTCCGCACAATTGAGGTCGAGATTTAACAAAAACCTGCCAGATAATGGTTGCGCTATATTGAACGAGATGATTTGGTGGAAAAAATGGACGGGATGTGTTCTTTCCGACATCGAACTCAAATCCCGAAATCGGCAACAAAGGATTTATTATCCGATAGAGACCGCAGACAGCGCTGATTTGGAACAGTAGAACGTCGTTACAGGTTTAGACGTTGGTAGCTCTCACGTCAAAAGGTAACTTGTACACGACGTGCGAGAAGTTCAAAGTTAATTAATCGTTTGCATTTGATGACCTTTATGCCGCAAACAATCATCGACGTGAATATTCAGATGAGTAACAGTGAATTGATAATTCGTTTAAGTAACACCAATATGCTGAGGTGTTTTTGATTGGTTTCTCAATTTACTATAAAATGTATTTTTTTGGAAACGCTAAGATGAGAATGAAAATATTTTTTAATTTTTATTTAACATAACATAGACAACGAGCTCTTTACAATAGGAGGGAATTTTTTATTAAAATAGGTATATCGCGGTGATTATCTGATGTTATTTCAATTATATATTACATGTTCTTTGATGAAATGTACAATATACATGAAATATAAATAATGAACACACAAACTTAGACAATGGATGCCATCAGGTCTGAAAGTTTAATGTTGGGCGATGACCTGATTCTGTCTTCTCTTACATACTTAATAACCAAATCTTTTTCTGAAGGAGTGTTCCTTCTTAATTCTTAAGGAAGCTATTTTTATACCTCTTTATGAAAATTGATGTAGAGAGTGTGTGTCGAGTTACAGACCGCTTTCACTGGTTTTAAGTAGATTACTTGGAAAAGTATAACATTTCGTCGAAAAATCAGTATGGCATCAGAGACAAGAGGTGGACAGAGGAGAGGATTTGTGATTCTACTTAAGGCCATCTGTTCTATTTTGAAATTATCAGTCTAAATAAATAAAATACAGGGAAAATATAAAATAATATTGAAACCCATATTAGATATAGAATAACAGCATCTATTTATCTAATTGATCATTTAGAAAAAAATGAAAAATGGTTCTTGAATGTAATTTTCAAGAAAACAGCGTGAAAACAACAAATTATTTGAAAAATTAGACCATGAATGCAATACAAAAAACAAACCCAACAAACATAAATTGCCAGTTTTTGCTCCAAAATTGAAGATATTAAAAAAAATTAATTCTTTAAATTTATTTTAAAAAAGTTTCATAGATTCTCTAAATATATATTTATTAGTCTGTATATAAGAAACAAATAATAAAATAATTGATATAAAATTGCAATTAATTTATTCTTTAAATAGATTTTTTTAAAATAATTCATTTTAGTGCTGCTTTTATCTTTGGCACAATTATTATGTCGTTTATATCTACTGGAACTTAAGACAAACTTTGTTAGTTAAGTAATAATTTCTATTATATCGTTGATTGTTGGCGAAAAATATAATATATTAATTAACGTTGCCCACGCTCAAGAGATTTCTGTGGGTTTGTTTGTATTATATTTGCCGTATTATAAAAAAGTAGAATAACTGTATATTATTTAAGGTTTTGAAAAATATATAGTTCCTTATGCCTTTGCGTACATAAACCTATTATTCGATGCCCAACACTGGCAACATTGTCTCAGCCCGACAAGATATTTGCATCACGCTAAAATGGAAACAATGCTATCACCCCTGATTATATATCTATGATAAAAGTCGGTGGTAATGAAGACATTTAAATTCCTGCCTTCCTTGTCCAGATCCTTAATGACACCTTTAACGTTTATGTCATAAATAATGATTATTTAACCGTTGCTATTTGCATTTTCTTTAATAAGAACGCAAAAAAAAGACTGTCGTACTCTAATTCGACGCTGAAGCCTATTTACCGCTGTTGCAGGAAACGTTCGCCCGGTGCTGCGGCATTAAACTGAAGCAGGGCCAGCAACGTCAGTATTCGGCACTGTCAAAGTGCAACCCCAAGGCCGTGGACTCTGTCGACTCCACCAAAGAGAATCCAACCATTCACACGAACACGAGCCTGACGCGCAAGACGTCCAGCGAATCATTCCTCCTCAATGGCAAAAGGTATCCTAAATTAATTAACCATGCAATAAAAATCTTGACATCGTCAATGTGGCTACATACTGGTAATTTTAAGAAATAAATTGGCATAAATATGGCACTTTTTGAATAAAAACTATATATTAACAATTGCAAATGACCTCTGTATGTATAAATTTATGGATCAGTCACCCTGTATAAATGAGCAAGAGAAAATAACCATTAGTGAGAGAAATCCTCGCGCTCAAGACTAAAGTCTATTTCAGAAAGGGGTAGTGTAAGAAAACCTCATTAAATATGCAACGAAACTACAGAGTGACCAAACGAATACTTGTTCATTGTTTGTCGTTGATTTAATTGCAAAATTCATCCATTTTATCGAGGTAGAACCACACAGAAGATGGGATACTCTTAAAACGAAAAGAATATTGTACTGGCTAGTCGTCTGATACATTATCTCAATATCAAAGAATCTTAAAGACAAAGTTGTTTGGAATCACTCTTTTTTAAATAGAACAGCTGTGTATTATTGCATTTTTGCACTCCTGGAAACTTTCTAGACATATTTCACATATAATATCATATAACCATGTCTTACTCTTTTTGACATATTTCGAATTTTATGTCAAAAGCACATTTGCAGGTTTCTATCGATATCTTTCAACGAAAGCCTTTCTTATATATTTAGAAATGTTTTTCTTGTAAAAAAGATCTACTTTAGTGGCCTGTGTTGAAATTTTAAAAATAAATTAATGCAAATACAAGTAATTTTTTCAAGTGATAACACCCTATTTTTGTATTTTTATCGTATTTAGCATTAAAAAGGGTATAAAGATCCTTATTATAGAGTTATATAGAGAAATATTTGCAATTTCTTCCCTTGTAATTGGGCAAAAGTCGAGCACCACAGAAATGGCAGCGTTTTTTTAAATATTGCTGCAAAATATCCACATGTACCAAAAATTGGCAATAAACAGTGTTTAACGATTTTTATTAATATATATATATATATATATATATATATATATATATATATATATATATATATATATATATATATATATATATATATTCATAATAAATATTTTATAACGCAAACAATTTTTGATTATTAGGTTAATAAAAGTAATTTAAGTTTTGGATATGCCTGCCCATTTAAGCTATCAACTAAGTATGAAATTGCAATTGCACAAATTGGCCAGGTCTCCTGTATATATATATATATATATATATATATATATATATATATATATATATATATATATATATATATATATATATATATATATATATATATATATATATATATATATATATATATATATATATATATATATATATATATATATATATATATATATATATATATATATTCATAATAAATATTTTATAACGCAAACAATTTTTGATTATTAGGTTAATAAAAGTAATTTAAGTTTTGGATATGCCTGCCCATTTAAGCTATCAACTAAGTATGAAATTGCAATTGCACAAATTGGCCAGGTCTCCTCAGTGGCTACCCAAGAATGTTTTCTCCAATCCAGTATCCAGTAATGATAGGAGAAATAATTATTCGTTTTTTGACTCCTTGTTGCCAAATTGAAACTGCAATTCTATTTGTGGCCCTTATTTCCAAATAAGATGTGCGTCCAAAGAATTTTAAGAACTTAAGTTTCGATAAACTTTTTAAAATGCACTAACATATTAAGTTGATTCTCATAGTTTAAAACATGGCGGCTTCTAGGAAGTTTGATTTTGTCGAAAACACTGACAGATACCATCAAAAATCTTTTTTCTGGATGACTTTTTAAAGGGAATTGGATGACGTAACTTGTTAACGCCAATTTTTTCATTCAAATTTGGAGTGTTAATTTTTGACCACCTTGTATTTATTTATTCTTACGATTTCATCATAGAGCAGCTCCCTTTCTATAAGTCCCAAATACATATATAAAAAAAAGGCTATCATTCATCAAAATGTGGATCTAGAATATTCCGCGTAATTTAAAAATGCATTAAAATACAGGGTGTTTTATTTAAAATTAGAATGTTGTTGCTTGCTCACTAAAATACTATCCACTAAAATACTACCCTGTGTGCATTGCTATATAAAATTTTAAAAATATAAATAACAATAAAACTGTTTTGATATTTTTTTCGGCTTCTCACATAATAAACGAGTCACTTTGTACGTAGTACTAGGTTCCCTTATTTTTTCTAAAACATTATACAGATAATTTAATTTATAAAAATTTATATTTCAAATGTAAAAAGACAATAATAAACACAACAAACAAAAGTGAGGTTAGGCTACTATTTATTTTTCTTAATTAAATACTTAAGTTAAAATGATCTGTGTTAAAGTAAATGTGTCTTTTTAATGGAATGTTCCCGGCTCGCGTCTAGTGGCTTTTGAATAGCCAATTTAATGAATAGATTTTCCCGGAGCAGAAATGGTTGTGGTTTTGAAACCTAACAGGATGCACTAACGATAAACTACTTTCAGGTCAAAAATAACTGTAAACTCGTTAAAAAACGTTAGGCTGGCAATTGTCAACACGAAAACGTACGTCGTGATGTCACCAAACGCTGAAACGTTTTTAGCGGAAAATAGTTCAAATTTTAATTATTTATTACTACGTTAATATTTCTTAATTTTTTGTTCATAACTTTTTAAGTCTTATTAAGTAGTTTAATTCACTAAAAAAAATCTGCAAGGAGCCTGTGCGGTAATCGAAGGACCAGTAAAAGTTTTGAGAATTTCAGGTTTTAATGGATTTATTCCGAAAAACAATTTATGAGTACAAATAGCTCTATGTATCGCTGTTATTGCACTGGCGGGAGCTTAGCAGCCAGTCTCGTTGTATGCATTTAGTTACAGAGTACATTAAACACTAACAGAGCCTTTTCACCAAATTAGTCTGCAAACACATCTGCTCTTCCAATACGGACGATTTTTAGTTTCTTTTCTTTCCAGAAAGGCAGCTTATTACTCCCCGACAGGCTTTTCATGAAAGTTTTGGCGAGCACGTATGCTTTAATTACTCACAACAACGCCTTATAAGCACTTATAATTGGGATCAAAAATAATTTTGTTTGCCTATAATATTCGTTTCTTGTCAATTCCAGACCGAAAATGGCGACGCGCAAGGCAACAACCGCCAACGGCAAATCGAACGGATACGGCGATCGTTCTGTCCGAGTCGAAACCAGACAGACGATCGAGTCCCAAAATCGATTGGCGAAATTCAGTCGATATTTCGGTTGTTTAAAGAAGCATCAGGATGCACACAACGAAAATATCGAACTTAAGACGCGCGACGGCAAAAAGAATTGTTGCGGAAGCGATATCATCAGCAATAGCAGCTTGGAAGACGTCGAGAAAGGTGCCATCGAGGACGAGCTTACAGTCTACATGAAAAACGCCAACGTTAGTGAGTGTTAGATAATGCTTGGGGACCGCCACTGAGCAGACCAAACTGGAGACTGACGTTTAATTGTGGGTGTGTGTGTGTGTGTCTAGTGAATGTGACATTCTCGATTAATTGTCACGTCTGGGTCTACACGGGACGTTCGGTTTTTAACGATTTTCCAAAACTTTATCTTCTAAAACTTTATCTTTCTATGAAACGGGTGAAATAGCGACATTCCGAAGCAGAAAAATAAAACATCGAAAAGCACAAACGAAAACTTCCACCGTGACTATACTTTAAGTTTAAATTTTTTTGGAAATATCTTGCGCGTTTTTAGAGAAGGAGCAAATTCTTTGTTTCGCCGTTTTTAATAAAATATATTTGCACAACAAATGCTTTTGTACGAGGCGTGTTTTTAAAGTACCACCGCGTAAGGTATAAACCATAAGCGGCATTAGGCACTGAATCCGAACAGTCCGAACGACCGATTGAGATCCATTTAAATTTGAATTGTTGTTCTGTTTTCTGTTTTAGTTAGTATAATATTTAGCTGTGTTCTGATTGTTAATTGCATCATGATTTTATTTAACAATTAATACATTTTTTTAATTAAATACCTGGCCGCAGGTATATATTTCATTCAATATACAATTCAACAGATAAGCAAACCTACCGATCGATGCAACTCAATACTTTTAATATAATAAATATAACTTTGATTTCGTCGAAGGCACTGATAGATACTGTCAAAAATGATGAAACGAATTTCATAACGTAACTTCTTAACGCCGATACTGAGCTTTTATTATTATAATAAAATAAATCGAAATGATAATGAATTAACAATAACAATAAAATATGATTAAGTTAGATGGCATAAAACTGTTAAATAAAATGTTAAGCATACTCTCAGAAAGTCAAAACAGTGACGATCGATTGCTCGATTGTTTTTTTTTTCGCCGTGTCTTACTCAATTTTAGAGAAGCAGCAAATTCTTTGTTTCGCGTGTTTAATAAAATATATTTGCACAACGACCGCTTTAGTTTAGTTTCGAAATGAAAAAAATAAAACGAATATATTTTTCCGATAATTTATTCACTTGAAAGACCATACTTTACTCTACCTTTCTACGTAATTCCTATTAATATTAAGGCACTTATCGTATTCTGTATTCCATTGACAAAGAAGGTGTCTGATTAGTAGTTTTTACTCCGTTGATACGGCGCTGCTGCACCACGGTAGTCGCCCGACGCTAGAGCGGGACCGTATGGAGGATGGTCCAATTGTTCCCAGACAAAATAAGTGATAAGGTCTTGAGTTCGTATGTGAACGTCTATTCCAGTGGTGGGAATTTTTTTTTTAAGACGGACCATTTGTAATAACTAGACGATCGTAGCGGGCCAAAGAATAATGCTTAATCGTTAAACAATGTATGTGTTTTATAAACAGATACATATATTGCTTTTTACAAAACTTCTGGATTCCTCCTGCGTCGGTTTTTGCTTAGTCGAAATTGCTGACGTTTCGCCAATCATCATGTTGACTTCTTCAGAGCTTGACTGAAAAAGCAGGAGGAATCCAAAAGTTTTGTAAAATGCATTACAGTAGCCTGTGGAAGTCTCTTTGAAAAATATACATATATTATTACATACACTTATTATTTTAATAGTAAAATAGCAAAAGGTAAGAAAATTGTAAGCACAAAATATAAAATGAATTTAGTGTAGTTCTTGATGTGAAGTATTATCACTTTATCTTCTGGTATCATTACTGGTTGATGGTGCATAAGATAAATGAAATTGAGACTGTTTTATCAAAATTACATCATAGTCCGGTTCCATTTGCGAAGCAGAAATTCTCAAAACTGATGAAAGGTGCTCATCTGTAATTTTGTTTCTTAAAAAAGCTTTTCTAAGCTTCATTATTTGAAAGATTTGTTCACATATATAAGATGAGCCGAACATTGTCATTATCTTCATTGAACGATTAATTAGATTTGGGAAATTATCTGCACTTAATAAAATTCTAGTAATGGTACTGTAAGAAATGTTTGTTTCAGGAGAGTATTACAGTTCAGTACAATTAACCCAAGTTGAAATTTTGCGTCAGCTTCTTCGTAATTAACATTGAATGGGGTAGCAAAAATACAAAACTCTGGTTCCATTTTTATAAAGTCCTGAAATCTCCTTTCAAATTCTGAAGATAGTTTTCTCAAATTAATTTCGTATTTTTTAACCTTATTGTTTGATATAGTGAATTTTAAAGATTGTATTGTTGCAAAATGAGAAAAATCATATTTGGAGACCTGATTAGCAAATAATAATAACTGTAATTTGAAACTCTTCAGGTATCGTGAAGAAACTGATTTTTCCCTTGCAATTTGAGATTAAGTTTTTATCAAGAAGAAAATTCACAATATCGTCATTGAAATCCCAAATTCTTTCAAATACTTTTCCGGCCTTAACCAACGAACTTTTGACTCCAAAAACTGTTGAAACTGGCGATGTAATAACAGCAACAATACAACAATATTAAGTATATGGTCAATATATGGCACTCTGAAACGGGCCGGATGAAACCTTTCCGAGAGCCGGACTGGCCTAAAGGTTAGTTTCTCACATTCTCGGGACATCCTGTATAATCTATCTGCCAATTATACTAAATCATGAGAATTTTTTACACTCAAGAAGAATAAAATAACTTTTAGCTTTGTCACATGCGTAAATCTAAATATATTTTTTACGATTATCGCAGGAATTATTTATAGTAAATATTAACAAAAGTTATTTAAAATTTTCTAAAAGATCCGAATTTGAAACAAAATTTAGGGGGCTGTAGAATTGGCAACGCTGCATTTGTTCAAATATATCTAAAACATAAATTGGAAAATTCTTATGCACGGAAACCAAGTTCTTTTACTTCGTTCTCCGAAAACCGAACAGTCAATGTGCGTATTACTTTCAGAAAGAAATAAATATTTCTCCTCAATTGAAAAATGTTTATAATTCTTATCTTAAAAAAACGTTAGTTACAATAATTTTCAAATTTAAGAAGTCACGACGAAAGAATATAATAAAATTCAATATATTTAAAGAAAAAAAAAATTGACCTGCAATGAACGCGAGACCTTCCGTGTCGCATCCGATACCCTAAACACCGAGCTACGTAATGTGTGCTGAATTATCGATTAGTTGTATATGCAAGCTATTTATTGCCGGTATTGTCGCTTTAAGCATAGAGTTTTCTTCTAATATAGACCTCACTTTCTGCAATATGTCAAAGCGGTAACTGCAAAAAATAGTGTAGCCTTAGTGACCGTTTACAGAACCCTTAAACACAAATTGACTCATCCCCTACGGCGAAAAAGTAATAATTTTATTGAAACTGTTGCTGGTCCGTATCGGGCGCACCCTGTATGAAAGACGAAAACAGTAAATGCAAGAATTGTAGCTCTCGAGGTGACCTAAAAGACCGATCAAACCAAATACTGCCGTTTGCCACGGTTTTTCAGTTAAGGCCAATAATTTACTTCGAAAAATCACAATTTTCAGTTGTTTGCTCAAAACCAGGAAACCCTGAATATTTTTGGGTCAACCGATTTTCTGGGTTATTTGCCCAAATCTCACGCGTCTTTTCAGGCCCAAGAATTTTTTCGTTCGGACCGTTTTCGAGCAAAAAAATCTTTTCGGTCCCGAAAAAAAAAATCATGTTTTTTATAAACATATACATATATTATTACATACACTTATTATTTTAATAGTAAAAAGCAAAAGGTAAGAAAACTATAAGCACAAAATATAAAATAAACTTAGTGTAGTTCTTGATGTGAAGTATTATCACTTTATTTTCTGATATCATTACTGGTTGATGGTGCATAAGATAAATGAAATTGAGACTGTTTTATCAAAATTACATCTTAGTCGGGTTCCATTTGTGAAGCAGAAATTCTTAAAACTGATGAAACGTGTTCATCTGTAATGCTGTTTCTTAAAGAAGTTTTCCTAAGCTGGACTTAAATGTTATTTTTTAATTTAAATTTTTATTAAATTCTAGGTATGAAAAGTTTGTTTCAGGAGAGTATTACAGTTCAGTACAATTAACCCAAGTTGAAATTTTGCGTCAGCTTCTTCGTAATTAACATTGAATGGGGTCGCAAAAATACTAAACTGTCGATCTATTTTTCTGAAGTCCTGAAATCTCCTTTCAAATTCTGAAGATAGCTTTCTCAAATAAATTTCTTATTTTTAAATCTTATTGTTTGATATAGTGAATCTTAAAGATTGTATTCTTGGAAAATGAGAACATCAGATTTAGAAATCTGATTAGCAAATAATATTAATTGTAATTTGAAACTCTTCAGATATTGCCAAATATCGTGAAGAAACTGATTTTTCCCTTGCAATTTGAGATTAAGTTTACTCGTGTGTATGAGGAGGTCTGTGAAAAAAACGAAATCAGAAAGTTACGTTTTGTTTCCTAGAACTTCAAATTGATTATAAATGTCTTTATCAAGAAGAAAATTCACAATATCGTGTTTTAAATCCCCAATTCTTTCAAATATTTTTCCAGCCCTTAACTGTTGAAACTGGCGATGTAATAATCCTCTGGAACGAATCATATTTACCAGTTCTACAACAATATATGTTCAATATCTAAAGCCGATTTACAGAGAGCATCCTGATGTATAAGGCAATGCAAAAAAACAACATCCTTTTGCGGATACTTAGAATTAAATTTCCCAACAACTCCTTGATTGATTCCAACCATATTACTAGCACCATCTGTAGTTACATTACATAACTTCTCAATAGGCAAACGAAATTTATCGATGAGATTTTCAAATTCACAAAATATATCGGCACCAGTCGTTGTTCATTCTGTAATTTCAATGTGGGCATTGATTCCTCTACTTTCATCATTGGCAATTTTGTAGTCAATTATGAAATTAGATTTTTATCAATATTTTCAATTCTCTCGGTGATTGTTCTTCGCCGCAGGGAGTTTTTATGCGGGTCGTCACAAGTAAGAAGTAAGAACGCGTTCAAACATTCTCATGACGGCTTTATTAAACGGACCGGATTAAACTTTTCCGCGGCCCGGACTTGGCCCGCGGGCATTAGTTTCCCCATCACGGGTCTATTCCCTTTCACTTTACAGTCCACTTTTCGTATCAAGTCATCGGTATGATTGAAAATCATCCACTTCCTCCCTCATCGTGAATGTAGCTGCGGCCATCTTTAAACGCCCTAACTCATTTCCGTACCATTCCATCGTTCACAAAGTTTCGAATGGATATGAGCTGGTTTGAAGCATTTATCACTGAGAAAACATCAAAATCCCCGAGATTCTCTTTAGGTGGCGACATTTTGAAATCACGCATACTCGATCGGATGGTTCTGTAAAGATGTATGTGCTAGAGTTGCGACAATCGCGATTGATTCGGTCACTTTGATTTAATCACTGAATAGTATTGAACGCTTTCGCTGCCACCTCGACCGGTCTAAAGTGAGATGGCGACCGATTACAGGCCCTTACCAAAACAAATCGAATTCGCCTTGCGAAATACGGTGTATTGTTATAATTATTGTATGGCATTGAGTTGCGATATCGATAGGTAGATTTGCTTATGTGTTGAATTGTATATTGAATAAAATATCTATTTCCGCGCAGGTATTTAATTTAAAAAAAAGTATTACTCGTACAACCCAATACCTAACTACCTATTTTCATAAAAAACAGAAAACAGAACATAT